CTCATTCGGTGAAATGCAAGGACACAATTGTTTAAAGCCAGTCACACACGCTGAGGTTTACCGGAAACAGTTGACCTGTGCGGGAAGCTGTGCCTGCGCAGGTAGACCGTCTCGTGTACGGCAACGGCCTGTGTAGTTTTTTATACCTGTACTGGCGACCGGAGCAAAATTCTTTCTTTCTGTTTTTTAGACACTCCCGCATTAGGACCATATCCTGCGTCGCAGGGGACTATACATGAAACGGACACAAAGAACACCCAGACTCAGAACAACAATTTGTGGATCACACTCGAAAACAATTTCGAAAATCAATGTTTTTGATCGACACCGTACATCTAAAGATTTCTCTGGTAAAACAGATCGTACACACATTACGGCATACGGTCTGCTTGCGTAGGCACACCAGCACAGGTAGACCTATATGGTATACAATAGCGTGTGTGACCGGATTAGCACAGGTTTCCTGTGAGGCCGTGGAAACACTCCGGTAGAGTAGAAGATGGCTCGAAATAATTTTAGTATTATTACTTGAGATATACTCGCTAAATGACATTCTTATAATATTATTTTCTACACGGGTATGGCATAAAAAGTAAATAATATTGATTATAACTAATAATATATACAAGCTTAATATGGTAACGTAATTGTCATAAAAATTAAATTAAATTTTAATTAAATCTATTACTGAATATACAATCTAGAGCAATCACTCCGGGTAGGATTGTAAATGACTACATATAATTAGTGGCTAGCACGAAGTCCGAATCTCAACGATCACTGACACCGAAACCTTCCCCCGTACTAATTTTTTTCAGAAAAATACAATGTTTTTCTTTTTATGCATAAAGATGAAATTTTCATTTTGTTATTTGCGTAAAGTCTTAGAATAGATAGTGACAACATTTATTTAAACTTTAGTTGAAGGAGTATTCAATTGTTCATTAAATGGGATTTATTTCATTTGCATCCTAAGTATTCGAATTTTTTAGGTATTTTCTATGTGACCCAGATTCATTCCCCTCGATGGTATTTATAAATGCTACGACTAACATTGGAAGAAATAAATTATAACTATATTACATAAATCTAGGCTTTTGTTTCATAGAATTGGTTCTGTGAGGACTGAGAACCTTGTGCAGTTAATATGCACGTCCCAAAAAAAAGTTAATTTAATATTAATATAATAATAATTTGTTATTAATATAAATTAAATTATGTGTTATACGTAACATTATCGTCCAAATATAACAGATATACATATATAATAATGAGTATAGTATATCCAGAATATAACGTAATCTCCTACTTCGGCTTAGAATATTATAATTTTTAATAATAATATAATAGTAATGGTACACAAATATGCACAACAGACAAAAAGTATACATTCTCCCTGTAGTAATCCCACAACTGGGGTTATTCCGAAACACAAACATAACAGAAAGCTGTTATAATTAGTGGTGCGACGCGACTTTTACAATCAGTTAAAGCATGAACCGAGTTGAATCGGTTTGTCCGTTTTTTAAACCGGTTGAGACATGTCATAAGATCGGGCTATGCGCGCGATTTTTCTACCATCTGAGGGCCAAGTGCGAGTTTATTTCACGTCAACTCGCTCTCGACGGCGAGCGCGTTCCGCGTTGTGATTGGTTAAGATTTCAGTGTGGACCAATCGCAGTGCCGAACGCGGTCACCGTGACGATCGCGATGATGTGAATTAAACTCGCACTTGGCCCTCTGATTCTGAACCGAGTCGACGCAACACGACATCTTTATCAATTTACCTACAAGCACAAACTATGTTATTGTGTTCCGTCAAAATCGGATACGGTTAGCGCGCGTCCCTTAACAATATTTTAATACATAAACCGATTTACTAACCATTTGGATCTAATGGACATATTTTTCTTATATCCACCAAATGAAAAAAAAATAAAACATGGTAATCGTGTTTACTGTATTGCCCTTAGCTCTCAACAAACTGTCAGTCAATTCATACCGTACCGCGTCCGTCGTCGGTTATTATATTATTATGAATTTATTTTATTTATAATATATTGCTTTCGTATGTTATATTTTGAACCGATTCGCACGAATTGTCAAACCGTTTCAACTTGGTTTGACAATATATTCCAGACCGTCACATCTCTAGTTAAAATAAACACTTGCAGAATCGTGAGAAAGTTTAGGCAAATAGACGAACAACTACACAATGCAATAGACAAACAGACCTTATTAACTTCTGCCAAGAAACCGTGACATTTACTTAAGTGAGTCCGTAAATGTCTCTAAATTACTACCAGCGAAAGCTGAGAAAGAACAAATTCGACCTAATAAAAATATATAATGATTTTAAATTGATGCTCAGGTAATAGTACCTCAGCATCAATTCAAAATCATATATATCATATACAAAGAGATATGCTGAAATTCTACCGATTTAATCAGCTACTACACGTTTTAAATTGTTATTCGTTAAAAAATTGTAGCTGATTAAATCGGTAGAGTTTCAGTATATCTCTATAATCTATATCTCTATTATTTATTTTATAATAATAATGCTAAGATAAATAAGGAATTTTACACACACATCGGACACTTAGAAACACACTCATCCGAAGATTAAAACTAACAACACAATAACACATAACACAATTATATTTATAACAAATCAGAAACATTACATTATACACATTTAATATTAAAGTCATACTCTGTTAGCCACGTAACTATGTAATTTTATTCTAGTATGGACCTTAGCTTTGAAACTTTAGCAGACAGCGAACTGGGTGTACTATGCCATCGAAAATCGAATGCCAAATAATCGAATATATATTGATCGATCACTATAAATCCAACTTCTAAATACTCGAACGTTGTTAATATCGAATGGTTAGTAAACTATCGAATGTTTGTTTGATCGAGCGTTCAACCCATAGCATTTTAACTTTATCGAAATATCAATATAAGCGAGATATTTCCTATATTTATATTATATCCTGTCCCACTTCGTCCACTGTCTGCCCCAGCTATTATGAGGAGCATCTGATACCGACAAAGAAGGACGGTCCACCCTTTGTGACTTTAACCTTTTGTAATAATTGCTATGGTCACTTGTTTTGTCCGAAATTTGATGGAAATTCTCCAAAAATTTACACATCAGTAGAACTATATGTTGGCAATAAATATGTGTGCTACTTAACAATGTTTTTTATTCTAATTATACAGGTGATATAAAAAGGTGTGTTCGTATTTAAAAGGTCGTGTCGTAAATGTTATTAGATTTACTTAAATTTGAAACTAACAGTATGAACTTGATAGTAAATATGAATAATAAGGTATTAAATAATAACTAAAAAAATGGAACTCCAAACTTGGCAATAAGAAATTGATATTTTGTAGCTAAAAGTGTTTCATGTGAAAGCAGTTCGGGACTGAAATTGTAGATAAACCAAGTTATGAAATTATAAGCAATTAAGCTCTACCTTGTCATGCTTCGTTGTGGAACATAACATGAGAAATGAAAAACAAAACTGAAGGGAAAAATAGATAAAACCAATCAAAGAAGCGGGTTGTATATCGTGACAGAATTTTTTGAGTTTTTATGTAAATAGACTAGCTGACACCCGTAACTTTGTCTGCTTATCTTAAAAAGAATAAATATTCCACGCTTTCGCAACATTTTTCATGCACCCCACGCTTTTTTTCAAATTTATTTTCCATTTTTTAGTTTGGTTTTCTATAGAAAGCGTGTTTTTTAGTTTTTTAAAACTATGTTTTTTTTTTAAGTAGTGTATTTTCATCGGTCCTCGATATATCTAAAAAGTTTCAACGAATTCTGACCGTTTAAAGTCAGTCAAAATCACGCCCAAAGGATTCGGTTACAAACATACAAACAAACATACAAGTGAAGCTAATATAAAGCGTGTAAAGGAAAAGAAACTCTCAATGAGTTAATGATAAGTTAATTTTTAAGTCAGTTTTCAAGGGTACTTACTGTGCTGTTGATCAACTCTAAGAATAAAATTATAGATCAAACCTCATGAACACACCTGTTTATAAAATCTTGTATAAATGAATATCGCACTTAGATTCAAACTTTGATTTAACACATACATTTTTCTGTGAAATTCATTCATCACCAAAGAACTCAAAATTACAATATTAATTAAATAAAAATATATTTATAGTGACTAATTAAGATTAACTATACAATAGCCAAATAACACATGAATAGGGTAGTTGACTGTTATGTGTATGTGTGTTAAATACTAACTAAATTATTTGACGATACCAACTAGAGACGCGCCGAGTACAATCAAGTTTTACTAAGTAACCGAGTAGTAGGCCAAAACCTCCTTTCTAAGGAGAGGCCTATGTCCAGCAGAGGACTATTAAAGGCTCTTGATGTCATGTTGTGATGTGAAGTAACCGAGCACCGAGTATTGCTTGGTAGTAATTAATCTAATACTCTGCCAAACAATTTACTTTGGGCAGGAATAAGTCAGCAAAATTTCACGTCAATTCGGGCGTATAATTTTCGTGACATATTACTTTCTAGCCTTTTACCTGTCCAAATTAAACTGTTTCGCAGAGTTTAAGATTATTAAATGCTGTTGATGATGATAATAATTAACACCACTATTAATAAAACATAATTAATATGATTATTTTATACGATCTCACCTTATAACCGTTTTTGAATACAGACCTCGATAGTCAAACAAAATTCTAACAAAATAAAAGACTATCTTGAGCACAGTATTAAGTATAACAAGCGCATATCTAAAATCAATATATAAAGTAATAAGTTGTTAACCTCTCTAAACTTGTAGAAAATCTTGATGTTTGTTTTTGATAAGATTTGACAGGTGAGCCAACTACCGTATTCTTCCAATTATGACATGGCTAAAAAAACTTAACGTTTAATACCAATGACATTAAGTGTCATTTAACTAAGTTACTTATTAAAATAAATAAAATTGCTATTCTACAGTCTAAGGCACAGCCTCGATCCTGGTATCACCTTGCTTCGCTTTACCAGAGAGCTTCGCGTAAATTTCTTCGACACTCTTCTGCCTAGTCTCAGGGAAGGAGACCACAGTGTAGAAGCAGGCCACGAAACAGACGATAGCGAAGTATAGAAAAACCCAGTGGATGCCGATTAAATTGGAAATGATGGTGAACCATTTTGTTTGGACAAAGTTGCTCATTTTTGCGCAGACGTTGGCGAAGGCTGATACTGTTCCACGGAGCTGGGAATTAGATAAAGCAAATTGTATTGTATTGTATTTTATTTTCACAAGAAGTGGTGATATGACGAAATGACTAAATCATATAGTACGGTAATTATTTTTATAATTAATCAAATAATAATACGGTGAGATGGTTATGTCGGACTCGAACTGACTAAAAAACACGTGGGTATACCTATTTAAGTACCTAGGTAATCCTCTCTCATAAACTTTTACGTTTGTAATATTAACTAGGCTTCACTTGAGTTACTACTGATTTACCCAAAGAGCTTATAAATATAGATGAAGCGGACAAGGGGTTATCGCATACGGTTGGTACATGGAGAAAGAAGATTGTTTTGGTTTTGCATCTCTCTCTGGTCTTGTCACTTATTGGCTATTTTAAATGCCCTCTTCAGTATCAGTCAATCAGTGCAGAGAGCAGAAAGAGATGCAGGACCAAAACAATATTCTTTCTCTGTTTAACGGCCCGTGCGCTACCACTTACAGAGGAATATACAGTTCGCTCCCTCTGTTATATTATTTCTACGGATTTACATAGGGGATAAAGACGTGAGCGTATTTTATGTGTATACTTACAAAGATTTTATAGAATTTTAAATACATATGCTAACTTACCTGGAAAGTAAATAAATCCGTTATAATAATATATGAGATCGGTTGGAATCCCGCAGCATCAGCAAAGATGCATATACACATAGCTAGCACGGGTAGCCAGCCTGGCAGCCAAATATCGCAAGAAGTTATGTAGAACCATGCGGATAACGCTAGCATGCCGACTCCCACAGCGAATGATGTCGATACCAATAGGAACTGAAAGATAAATTAAACAAATGCTAGCGTCATTTTTATGTAATAAAGCATAATTCAGCGCCATCTAGGGCAAACAAGAAGAACTACAAAGTAATTACTGATCTTGTGTCGCGTAATAAACGTTTGGTTGGGTCCAATCAATTGATAATTATTATTCTAAAAACACATTGTCATGTTTATGATGTATAATTACTTTTTTAGCCCTTACTGAATTCTGAGTCGACTAGAAGCTACTATAGAATACATAATGCATGCATGCGATATTTTGATCATCAGGGGCATGGCAGAGAGTTTTATACATACCTCAACGTTTAGACGATGGGTAGAAACTGTCATCTGACCTAATAATATTGTAATCAATAAGATAATTGTATTTTTTACCTATTTATATATTTGCTAAATATATTGTTTTATATTGTATGTATATATAATTAAGATATGGATCAAGTGTCTGAACTAAACTAAAATAAAATAAATAATATTTAAATTCAACTAAAATATCTCATAATAGAAAAATTATGATTTACAACCTACATGGTATTATTTATAAATTATTAGTAATAGTTTATATTATAACTTAAGCCGGACTAAAACATTATTAAATCAAATAATAATATCTACACAATTATATACTCACAATGTCAAATAAATAAACATGGAGGTCAGAAGACTAATTCGCATATATAGTGACAGATTTTGAATGATTTACTAAATATAATGGGTGCCCGGAAACAAAACAAGGTTCAAGAGGCGAGGCTTGGTATGCAATTTATTACATATGCATACAATAAGTACAATCCTCGATCTCAGCTTCCATTGTTCATTTAAAAGTAAAAGAAGAAGAACCATTACGAAAAGAATCGGGAATTGATTGGCAAAATATACACTAGTCGGTTACAAGGCTCTGACTTTTCATGAAAAGCTGCAAAAGCCAATTTAAAATATAGATATCCGACCTTAATCTACTCGAGCAATCGTGTACATTTCAAAAAATATCCTTGTGATCTCTTTTTGTCCACCTTTCCTTTTAATATACCCACCATTATCAAATCTAATCTCTAAAGTTCTCGGCTTACGAAAATAGGCTTGCCTCCTTTTTACGGTACCTAAATGTAACTAAAATTGTAGTTGGCTAAATGTGGGCGATTAGTATATACTAATCGCCCACATTTTCTCTGTGCACTCCTTTGGAGATATTAATATATATCAACTAGCTTAAGCCTGCGGCTCCGCCCACGTGTATGTCGGTTATCGTGGTAAAAAAATGCCTATAGTACTCGCTGATAATGTAGCTTTGCATTGGTGAAAGAATTTTTGAAATCAGTTTAGTGGTTTAGGCGTGAAAGTTTTACAAACAAACAAACGGACACACTCACTTTCACATTTATAATATAAAGTATGGATGTAATCGGGACTGTTGGTCTAGTGGTTAGTGACCCTGACTGCTAAGCTGGTGGTCGTGGGTTCGATTTCCACCCAGGACAAATATTTGTGTGATGAGCACGATTGTTTGTTCTATGTCTGGGTGTAATTTATCTATAATATGTATGTATTTAGAAATATATAAGTATGTTTATCAGCAGTTGGTTATCATAGTACAGGCTCCGCCTAGTTTGACATCAGACTGCCGTGTCTGAGATGTGTGAGGTTTATTTAAATTTTATTTAAATCCTCAGTAATACGAGTGAAGTCGTAAGCAAACATTAGGCTAAGATAAATATAATTATATGCATAGCTCACCTTTCTGCCTGTCCTCTCAACAAGAGATGTCGCTAGGATACTACCGATAAGCTGCACAACTCCGATCATAATGACTTGCTTGTTAGGACTTAGTTTGAGGCTAATGGACTCGGAGGCTCGTTCAAACACGTAGCCAGCATAAATGAGAACTATGAGGTACCCATTGAACTGCTGCGTTATTTTGATCACGAGAGTGATTATGAAGGCTTTGAAGGTTGGTTTATCTTGTACTGGAAAGAAGAAGGATGTTTCATTAACATTTTTATGTATAGGCATAGATATGGCCATTCCATGATATGGTTATGTTTCATGAAATGATCTGTCACATCATGAAGTGACAAATTGTATGATTTCCCTATATGACTGATGCATGTTATCTTCTTATTACAGCCTGGATCAGATCAGGATTCAATAGAACGCAATTTACCACGAACTTGACACACGATTTGACCCAATCTTGTTTAAAGGTGGGCTTATATTAAGGGTCCTACCTCTAGTCGTACTTCCGGCACCGTCGAATTTCGATCATTTTAACACATTTATAAATGCATACAAAGAAATCTCTTACGTATCTTTAATTAGATTATCAACTTATATTAAGAGTTTATAATGAATTTATGTACTACTTGTGATTTTGCTGTTTTATAATAATAAAAAAAAAACTCATTTTAAGCCGATTTAGGAGGAAACTGTAAATATTTCTCCATGTTGAAATTGGTCATCTAACGTACTGTAGCCAGGGTTGTATTTATTTATAAGCTCCAGTCATTTAAAATTAACACCTCCGGCTCTCTATAAATAGAAACTAGTGTTATTTTCTAATAAATAGTGGATATAAGTTCACCTTAACTATCAACGAACTCATATCGCTATAGGCCAACTAAGATAAAATAGTTATATGTTGAAACTTACAAATAATCTTAAACACAGATTTGGTGTCCGCCTGCGTCTGTTTTTCAATCCTCACGATGCCTTCAACTTCTTGCTCGATGGCTCTGTCAACTGGACTGACACCGCGTAACCACGCCAAAACAGATTTGGCTTCCTGAAAATGGAATAATACAAGAAGTTAAATGGATGCATAACTTATAAGAATCACACTTTAGGTATTTCTTAAGAAGGGCTAATATTTATGACATCTAACACATAACGGCCTAAAAGGCCGGCAACGCGTTTGTGACGCCTGAGTTGTAGACGTTCATGGGCAGCGATGGTCACTTTCCACCAGGTGACCCGTCAGCTCGTCTGCCCTCTCTAACATAAAAAAAAACTCCATCTAGTTTCAAACTAAGCAGAGCTTGTACTATAAAAGCTAGATTGACTTATAGAATAGTTTTTTTTTGTAAATACATCCATATTATGCATAGAAAACACCCAAACTCCAAAACAAATATTTGCAGATCATACAAACATTTGGTCCGACCCGGGAATCGATCCCGAAACCTCAGCACAGCAGTCACATATGCTACCACCGCACCACGGAGGCAGTATGACTTAATATTCAGATTCGTGCAAAAGTCATAATTTTCTGCCTGCATTATCGCAACTTTTTGTTATGTCGGGTAGGCGCTGACTGACCGCGTGCCTGACTTTAACTCTCCTTAAGAATATAATCGTTTTCATGCGAGATATTGGAAAAAAATCGGTTAAAGAAACAGCTAGCATGTAAGAGCTAGAGTAACAGATGGAGGAACAAGAGTTTGAGACTCCAGTAGCTCGAAGAGACCCGCAGCACAGACACAAGCTGGCCCGGCTCGACCGTAGTGATAACTATGGCCTCGTAAAAAACCGGTGTCAAGCAATACTTTCGTCCTTTTCACCGAATGAGTGAATTACCAGAGCCCCCACAACCCTCCCTATTCCCTAATTTGGAGGGGGCTCATAGGTCTGCAACACACTTGTGACTATAGTTCATGGGCGGCGGTATTCACCTACCATCATGTAACCGTTGGCCCTCTTCACCATAAAAAAATCTAAACATTTATCCGTATGAAACACATGCGCTGTATAAGAATAGGATAAAATAAGATGTCGTCCATAAAGGTACTTGTGTTGACACTTTGTCTTAGATCAAGTTTTAATTTACATACAGGAAATGTACCATCAAACTAAATCATTTCATAAAGACGTTTAGTTCCGGTGAGGAAATAGTCGAAGGTATTATATTTGTTATTAAATATTTTTTCTTATATATTAAGGTCACCGTCAAATTGTGACCTCTCGAATTTTTGTAACGCAATTTGGTTACGCCCGTTAATAGTGATGTTATTGAGATAGTTTCCTGTTTATAGTTTTGATTATACCATTAAGCAGATACTAAACACAGCAGGTTTGGCCAAAATAAGATAAATAACTTCTACTCTAAATAGAAACGAAGCCGCAACGATGACCGTACAAATAAGGGTGTATTTGTACGGTAGAGTTTTAGGTTTTAATTGGGAAGGTTTTTGCCCATATTCAGCAGTGGATTACTAAAGGCTGTTGATGATGATGATGAATATGTAAGATAGGTTTGACTAAAATACTTATTCTAACATTTTATACACAGACCGGATTTTTAAGATACATAACATTGGGGTCACCTTCTCAACTGGCGGCCAAGTGTGCGGAATTCCCAGGGATCGCCTCTCCAGGGTTACACCTGGCATCCGGCAATAAATTAATAAAAATAAATTTATAACTCACATCAATTTTACCCTGCTTGACCAGGTATTCTGGTGTTTCCGGCATCGCCAAGAATATGAAGAACATCACAGTCGGTACCAGCATTCCCAGCCACAGCACAGTCTTCACACTCAGTAGATCAGCACACGCGTAGCTTATTAAATACCCAATGTTTCTGTAATAGACAGACAAATAAATTAATTATATAATCGTTTAAAAAAATAACCTTTTCAATTGATTGATTATGTAATATCTGATCTCAAATAAAAGTGATCTAATTCGAATTGCAATTACTAGGCAAAAAATGAAGTCAAAAATAATAATGCATAGACGGGTAATAGTAATAACTTGACATATTATGTTACATATGGTTGTCTGATCGCGAACTGGGTATGCAGAGCCTGTCCTATGGTAACCAGACTGCTGAAAAAACTACTCAAACATTACTATTTAAATACATCCATTTAATATGAAGATAAATTACACTTAAACACAGACGAATTAAGAATACGGAGTGTCAAGATCCCTATTCATCGCGTGGGTGTCGTGAGAGCCGACGAAGGGAGAGAACTACGTAGACCAATAGCACTGCAAAGAGAAGGAAAACTTGACACAATCCCTATACCAACCCGTCTGGCCAGCGTTGTATAGTAGGTCAAAACCTCCTTTCTAAGGAGAGGCCTGTATCCAGCAGTGGACTACTAAGGGCTGTTGATGAAACACAGACCAGATGATCTTGCCCATCACATATTTATTTGTTCTGAGTGGGAATCTCTGCCTCGGGCTTTTCACCAAGATCGCTAGCGATCTTGGTCTGATGGATAGCGTCCATCAGATCAAGATCGATGCCCATATGCATAACATGCTATATTTTCTTAATGAATGAAATCGTATTCACTTTTATCAATGTTCGATCTTTCGTCAACAGACACGGTAATTAATAGTTAGAACTATTATCTCACAGCTAAAAGGACTCAAATAACTAATTTTTTTTCGTACAAAGTCACTTACCGCTCATAAGTGACCTTGAATGATTTCAAGTTAGTGAATAAGATATAACATATAGGTATACCAATCTAAAAATTATTCACCTACTTGCAGATAAAATTAGCTATGCATAATACAGACAGCGAACGGATCATTATTATGTAAAGTGCAATCTGGTCAAGACTGTTCATTGCTACCGTTGTGTGTATATTCATCACGATGCTTTGTTTACGTGTCTGTGACCTTTTGGAATAATAGACTAAAGTATAGTGTAGATTTGTACAAACACAATCATAGATCTAAGATAAATATAGACACTAACGTCTCTATACCTAAAGGATTAGATTTAGGATATTAAACGCCCAAATTTTAGCTACATTTCGGGTGCTATGGGAATTAAAAGGGAAGAAAAAAGAAGATAGAAGAAGGAAAGGATTTTGATATAAGACTCGAACACGGTACTGCGCAGAAAACTGTTGCAATCAAGTTTGAACTTTATCACTAAGTTGCGAGATCTTTTTAATTTTTAATTTAGTAAATAGTGCCTTTAGTAAATAAGCCTTTAGAGCTAATATCAAAAAAATGTTCATAAGTAATTGAATAATTTGTCCCTTTCTGTCTTTTCTTTGTAGATCTCATGCCAAATAGCCTTAAGTCTTATTTTTCATCTTTTATTAAAACCGTGTTGTAATAATTAAACAAAAATTGTAAACAAGCATCATTGAGTAATACAAGTCTCTGCAGTAAAACTGTTTTAAATAACATTTATTTTACGAATCTTTTTTAACTCTCTACAGCGACTTTTACTGCGGAGGGCATAGTAAGTACGCATTTAAAGTAATTGGCAAAGTCCATTAATCACGTGAGGCTCAAAAAAAGGGGAGGGGGAAGTAGTTCAGAAAAAATCATGAGACATCACGTATATTTATTTTTCTTTGAACACACGGTTTCATTTTTCATTCATTTCATTTCGATGTACCTACAAATATGTTTTTATTATATATTATTGTTACACCCTCCTCTATTATTGTTATGCCAGTCAAAAACAACCGGCAACCTCAATGTCTGTCTGGACATTTTTATCACGATGCTGAATTTTCCAAAATTTAATCAGATTATACGTGTATTTGAAGTCAATATTCTGAAAATTTAAATATACTTTGACACGTGATTTTAGGTAGGTGGTCTAAAACCTCATCACATATCACCAGGGGGAGGGGGTTCAAAAGTTGCTAAAAAACATGACATGATTAATGGACGACCCCTTATTTGGATTTTATAACCTGTGCTTCTAGACGTCTCTATGAATACATTGATATCTTTTCCTCATTCTACAACTAGTATATCTTGGTGACCTATACACACAGTAGTATCATTATAATGCAACGAACGATAATAATGTAAAATTTACAAACATTGTTTAATTTCATTTTTGAAATTTCTGAAGTTCGAATTCAATTCAAATACATGAGGAAAGTCAATTTATACAGATTCAATCCTTAATAATAATAATCGTGCTCATCACACAATTATTTGTCCTGGGTGGGAATCGAACCCGCGACCTTTAGCTTAGGCTATAGGGTTTTCTGAGAAAAAAAAATCCTTATATAGAGAGCTACCTGTTAGTAAAATATTATCAAAATCGGTCCAGCCATTTTGAAGATTACCCGAAACAAACAAACAGACAGATAAAAATATTTAAACTGGTTTTTATAGTGTTTGCAAATAACCGCGTGAGTATGAAAAAAACCTTTTGTTTTGACATTACAAATAGACACTTCAATTTTATTTATTTGTATGGAAGATTTTATATTGTAAGTATTGTAACAACTTATATTCATAAGAAACTATTATAAATATAAATGATTGGCGTCTTGTATTAGATTATTTTAGGAAAGTTCCTATGCTTGTTTAGAGTAGCTTATTTTGCTTTTCTGATTAATTTACTGAGTTATGAATCTGCACCAATATTGTAAAGCTGAAGATTGTTTGAACGTGCTTTTCTCAGGAAATATTGGTACGAATTGAAAAATTCGTTTACTGTTGAATAATCCATTTAGCGAGTAGGTCTATGGGCTATATAACATCACGCCACGATTCAATAGGAGCCGAGCATCAATGTTTTTTTTTAAAAAAAACGGGGAAAACTTATTCTTTTTGAGACGCTGATGAAGTTGATCTACTATTATCACAGAATGAGAATTTATCTGCACTGTTCTACATATCTATGCTAATGTCATGGTGAAGGCAATATTTTTTTCCGTGATTGTCCATTTAAAACCTGAATATATGGGTCCAAGTTACAGTTAAGTCAACACACACTTCCTATCTCTACGTAACGGAATCATAAAATTAATATCATCAATTAAAAAACACAATATATTTTGGAAATTTGAATATCTTCTTATATAGGTACTCGTTGTCCGTGTGGTGACGGATTAAGAATACAGAGTGTCATTACCGAGTTTTTATCTCGTATTTTCTAATTCTTTTAACAATAATTAATCTGTAATCTTTTAAAAATATTTTAACGATCTCATCTAAACTAAGCCAAACCTTAAAAAAAAGATTAAAAAAACTAATATAATGTAATGAAACTATGAATTAAGAAGTCCGAAGTGTGAGCATATCCCGTTTTTAGGATATGAACCAGAGGCACATTGTCAACGACATACTCGTATATGTACTGCAAATTGCAGACAGAAAGGCAGCAGGCCTAGTGGCTTTCTTATAGTACAGGAGGGTAAAAGAGCAGACGGGTCACCTGATGGTAACTGTAGGAATGGAATAAATGTCGCAATCACCTGTGATAAATCACATATGATTTTTAATCCCGTTACTCTCAATCACACCTGTGACTAATTCATAAAACCACTGCAGCTTATTGTTACGCTAGCGCCAGTCTCGCAAAAGGTCTAAATCTGTCTATGACTCAGTCACAATCACGGGTGAAATCGCAGTGATTAAAGCCAATCATTTTATTACATGCATATGATTTAAATTTAGCAATAATTTCCGTGTCTACTAATACACTACTCTACCATGGACGCCTACAACTAAAGAGACACAAGTCCGTTACTGCCCCATTCAGTCTTCTCTCATTATTAGGGAGAGGAAGGGTTACTCAGGCGCCGGAGGTCGCAGAACGACCTCCGTCCTCCATAAGCGCAGGCCTGGGGAAGACAGGTGAGGCCATCTGTCACCCTAGCACAAGCAGGCCGGGGTAGCGGGGGGAGCAGAGGGAACATGGGATTCCCACACGGGGGGAGTCGTCTACCTATTGTTGTAGATGGCCCGAGGTATTTCGGGGCACCAGGGACTTCCTTTCTAAGGTATACCTGGTTCCCCGGCTATTAGTACCCGAGACGGCGTGCGGTTTTAGTCGGTTCGAGTCCGACATGCCACCGATAGGTGGTATCCGAGGGGATTTCCGCACGGACAAAAAAAAAAGGGGGCGGAAGGGTTTGGGTTTGGTCTAATCAGACAGTGCAGTGCTCTTTATGGATTGGAGAGAGACAGCAAGAGGGGGTCTGGCGGCAGCTTTCTCTCTCGCACCTGGCATCGCGCTTTCGGCTTTAGGCTTGGTCTATTATTGTATCTCTATGGCTCACCTTATGGATTGGATAAATATATGTAGGTAATAAAATGTTTGTTTATGACATTCATAAAGAATACGATAACTTATAATGACAACAAAGCCAAATTTGTCAAGTATTTAAAAACATAAATATTTTGCTTTTAATCCCGCCTGACGAATACGTCGCGTTGTGTTTATAAATATGTGATGGAATGCAGAATCTTTCTACTGATGTTTGAATTATTTGTGACAAAATATGAGGAGCTAAGGGTTGGTTCTTTTTCCAGAAAATAGACAAAAAATGTTAAATAAAAATACAATTACTGTTTGGTTTGAAATAAGTCACTGGTAGCGTAATTAGTATTGGTCACAATAACGTAAAATTTAGGAAGAGTTAATTTTAAACCTGATAAATGATTTAAATAAGAGATCGTTAATAAATTAATTGTCAGATTTCAAACTATAGCTAGTTGGGTAATGTCGTCAGAAGACCACATAGGCTGGACAAAATCCTCCAACAAACCTGATACTGACCACGATCCTAAAACATGAAGGACCGACCAGAAAAAGCATGTAGGAATATATCCTGTAGGTATTGCATGTATTGTATTTACAAAGATTCATGAAACGGACACATAGAACACCCAGACTCAGAACAATAGTCAATATTTTTATTTTTAGTCAATATTAATATATATATATATATATAGATCTAGATGAGATATAAATCCTATTTAATAAAAATAATTATTTATAAGGACTTTTTCAATATAATGAAGGTACCAAGGAACGAATATTCTTGCCATCAACGGGCCTGTTGGCCTAGTGATTTAATCACTAGGCCAACAGGCCCGTTGATGGCAAGAATCTAATCACTGTGATTAGTGACCCTGACTGCTAAACTGGAGGTCGTGGGTTCGATTCCGACCCAGGACAAGTATTGTGTGATGAGCACAGTCATTTGTTCTGTGTCTGGGTGTAATTTATCTATAATATGTATCTATTTAAAAAATATATACGTATAAGTATGTTTATCAGCAGTCTGGTAGTACAGGTAGGTAGGTAGTACAAGCTCTGCCTAATTTGGGATCAGACGGCCGTGTATGAGATGTGTGAGATATATTACATTATTATTATTTTATATTATCATTTAAAAGAACGCAATCAGGGCCTTGTAAGAATCATTTAGATAAATAATGTAAAACTGTGAAGGACACTGTTAAAGCGAGTTTACAACAATAACGGATGTTACGATACCCATTGCAAGCATTTGTTTACTAGACAGGAGTACACATCTGATTTGAGAATTCACATGCAACTGTTTTCTCACGTTTTTGTTGATACATTAATTGCTCGTTTTTGTAGCGTGTTATTAAAACTTTGATGATAGATACAGATGATAACAGAGAAAGTATTTTATTGACAGTATAAACTGATATCGGCTTTTAATTATCTAAAGCAGATAGAAAATTTGACTGATCCATTGGTTTGGATGGTTATTGATTCCGGCTGCTAAGCAAGAGGTCGTAGGTTCGATTTTCATACAGGGAAAATAATAATTGGATGAGCACGATCATTTATTCTGTACTTGGGTGTAATATTTGTCTATAATCTATAAGTTGTTAGTATACCTAAGTAATAATGTTTATTAGCAGTCTGGTATAGGCTCTACCTAGTTTGGAATCAGATTTTAAATAAAATTATTAAGGTCTTTCTTGTTGAGTTCTTTAATCTGTTCTATACCATTTGGTCCAGCAATCTTTGTAAGGATTTCCTTTCCTGGAATCAATTTGTGTGAAACCTTCAACAGACTCGACTGCATTTATGAAATTATATACTTGGTTTCTTTGAAACATGCTGTAGCTGTGAGGACTGTCAGAGTTAACTTTAACTATTACGTCAAACATAGCCTAAAAATGTAATTTCAAAATCTTTACCTGTTCAAAATGAGTAAAGAGCCCAATGCACCTCGCAAGTCGATATCACTGATTTCCTTTATGTATATTGGAAGGACGATGTAACACGACGAGCAAGGTATGCCGGCTACAGCACGCGCCAGGATTAACGCCCAGGGCTCCAGGCATAGGAGCTTTATCTGCCAGTATATCTGTGTAAAAAGAAGTAAAAAAAATTAGGGTTACTATTATAGGGCTGTCTGCAATTAAGAGCCAGAAATTATTGTCTTAGGTACTTCTGGAGGATGTAGATATTGAACCCACTACAGTGGAACTGACATGCCTCGTTAGCAAAGAGTTATACTTTTAGTTTGCGCGTAGTATCCATCTAATCAGGGTGGAATCTTGGTGACCAGAAATACAGGCATACGCCTATGTTAGGCTCCAGGTTTCCACAAATTAGAGAGCATTTTAACTGTAAGAATTATAATATTGTATTTTAAAATTCAATAAATATTTAATTTTCAAAAAAAAACTAGATGGATACCACGTTTGATAGCAACAATGTTTACTCCCCACTACACCATGCCGACTGTGCTTGGCTCGATTTTCACACGGATGACCCAAAAGCTGACTGAGAATACCTACAGCCGGACTTAAAATAAATAAATATACAATACTCGTATTTACAAATTATAATTTTGAATGTTGTTAAACTGTTACGATAACTAAACTTATAAAATAATTTATAAGAGAACAATGGTTTCAAAATGATATTTTACGTAATCAAAAAAGACATCTGTGGAAGTATAGGATTCCCCGTTGCCAGAACAGGTTTGTTATACGGTCTGGTGGACAATAATGCCTCTTTTCGTAATCTTTAATGGTGCTAATGTCATTTCCGTTGTTTACAATATAACAAATACTACACTAATAAATGATAGAAAACGTAGATAACCACCACACACACGTGGTGTGATTTTATAGTTAAAAAAATTTTTCGGTAATGTAGGTACATAGAAACTATACAAAAGTGGAATAGATTTGTATCACAATTTTGTTTTAAATTTGTAAATCTAATGCTACATCATAATATGAGATATATGTACTATAAAATGTTATTATTATATTAAATATAATTTTACTAAATTAATTATAATTATAATAATAAAATTAATTGTTTTTTATTAAATTTTAATAAAAAACAAAAATGTTGCGTACAAGTGTGCGTGACCTAAGATGATTCTAATCGGCTTCTGTTCCCCAAAAGTTTTTTTTTTAAACATTGTTTAGAGAACTTTAACAATATGAGTTTACTTGAACTTTAACAATGTGCGTTTTAAACACAACAATCCCTTAAGTGTTTGATTCAATAACTTTTTTCAATTTCAGAAAATCAATTAATAACGGCTTAACGTCCGGCGTCCATTTTCAGCTGTCGTCGCTCGTATAATACAAATTTTTGTATTTGCAACAAACAATGGGTGCTTTGTAAGGCAATTCACCTCAAAAGAGATCAACTATAGCCTGTTCCTGATACTCATTAGAACTTCTTAACATCAACGACAAAAACAAATACAATAAATTGTCAATCAAAGAGGATATACAACAATAGCCGTGAGTTAGGACGGAAGCCTCAATAAATAGATCAATAATCTCCACTGTTATAGTTCTTCATGCTCGACTTGTGATGCAATAAAAACCATTTGTAACCTATACTAACAAGAAAACTATCGAGATGAAATCAACGCGAACAGGTTTCCGTAGTTTATTCCAACAAAAGATACTATACTACAAAAGTGTTTACAAAATGCTTGAATTATCTAAAAACTTCAACTGATGTAACAGATGCTTTGTGTTTCATCATAAATATTTGGGAAGATTTTTTGACTAATTAAGATGCTCTAATAACAAACTTGCTCGGTATTACCTATAGTCCCATTTTTCTTTTTTCTGATCTGCTTCAAAACACTACTTCTATATTAAAAATAATAAAAATGCAACTGTTTTAGACTTACTACTTTTAAATTTTAAATAATATCAGTAGGACGTCGTTATAAGTGCCTAACATTGGGTACCTTATTGATCAAATACTCAAGCGCCACTAAAATAAAGTTAATCATTTATTGATAGTATATCGGTCCGTATTATGACGGATTAAGAATACGGGGTGTCGCCACCCCTATTTGTCCCGTGGGTGAGAAAGAGTCGACTAAGTAAGTAAACTAGGCAGGAAAACAGCAGTGCAAAGAGAAGGAATACTTGAAGCGAACCCCGTACCAACCCGTCTGGCCAGCGTGGTATGGTATGAGAAATGTAGTTTAGTAATACATTTATAAAACGTAGGTCTATTTTAAGATTAAAGTAGTGATCACTATAGTATTGACTGGAAAATAAATCTAATCTTTGATCTAATAACATCTTTAATTTCTCTCTCGATACCTATCCTTTCAATAGCATTCTTTCTAAGGAGAGGCCTATCAAAATCGGTCCAGCCGTTTTGAAGATTATCCGGAACAACAGACAGACAGACAAAAAATATTTAAAGTGGTTTTAGGCAGAGGTATCGTTCAAATAACCGCGTGAGCATGAAAAAATCTATTATTTTGACATTACAAACAGACACTTCAATTTTATTTATTTGTGTAGATGACGTTTTATGACACTTTAAAAGAATACGCAATAGAGCAAAATTACAACAAGGTTCGTACCAGTCTCTAAGCTCTCTGTTAAAACTAGTTTTGGCTAACATACAATGACATTTTCGCCAATATTTGCTTTCAAGTTTCCAAAATTCGTAATGTTTACTTTCATAAGTTATTAACACAATTTAGTATAGCTAGTTATCCAATTTAATAATATTTGTATAAGTAACTCATAGTTGTATAGATTGTGTCGTGTGGTAAATATACAGAGTGTTACAGAAACATCATAACCTAAAAATACCTTCAACAGACTTGACTGATACTTGATATTGCCTGAATATATGCAACCAATATATATTAGTTTGCATTTATGATATTTTAGACTTGGCAAATATACAGAGTGTTTCAGAAGCATGATAAAATTTTAACAGCGTTAACTATACTTAGCGATCTTAACTGCTAAGCTAGAGGTCGTGGATTCGATTCCCACCCAGATCAAATATTATGTGATGAGCACGATCATTTATTCTGTGTCTGAGTGTAATTTGACTATAATATGTTACATACATTTTCATCATTATCATCAAAAGTCTTTAATAGTCCACTGCTGGACATAGGTCATAATATTACATACATAATTTTGGTAAATTTTGATTATAATACCGGCTGTGCGTTATTGGCTCGCTCCCTGATATAGGTATAGACTAAGTGAGACCGAAATTGTAGCCGACAAATTGTTGGCGTTTAGTACGCTTCTGTCTGGGATATAGACGTGTGATGCATGTTAAAACCTTTTCTATTGCGGTTGCGGTCTTAGCAAAATATTATGTCAATTTTAGTGTAGTTTTGTGTAGGTATATATTTAAAAAAAAACTGGGCATGTCATCCGTCAATAAATTTTCGAGATTTATGTATGAAAAAATCACGAATTTTCTCAAAATTACCATCTAGAATATGGCCATTACTTTCTGTAACACCCCGTATTTTTTGTATGGGTGACACAGTAATACATGACGCCATTTATTTCCTTAACTTATTAACACATACAAATAAAGATTTAAATCACACTACTTCGTCAGTATTTGTTTAGAAAAAATACACCGTCTATGATTGTAGACCACGTTTCAAAATTGGGCTAAACAGAGGTTTGTGAAAGAAGTACCATTAATATAGGCACTTCAAAGGCTTCATTCTTTAAAAAAAAACTTGACATAAAAATTAAGTGACAAGTATTCTAAGTGCAGTGGTAGAGTATGCGACGGCTGTGCTGAGGTCTCGGGTTGGATTCCCGGGTTGGACCAAATGTTTGTATGATCTGCAAATATTTGTTTCGGAGTTTGGGTGTTTTCTATGTATAACAAAAAAAAGTATATAAGAATTCTATCAGTCACTAATTTTTATAGTATAAGCTCTGCTTAGTTTGAAACTAGACGGCGTTGTGTGTCAGATGTTCCAAATATTATTATTGTTAACTAGAGCAACAGCCCAGTCAACTGACAGCAACCCTGTCGTATAATGGACCCCTAAGTGATCAAATTAGGGTCTTTACCCATATCTCGTACTTAATATTTGTCAACTACTTCCACATATTTCATTTAAATATATTTACTTTATGTCCCATTGTAAATGATTATGCGTTATGCAAATACTAGCAAATGTAATAAGGTCGGAGTTTTTTTGTTTGACTTTTAGTATGTTTTAACGCAATAATCTCTACAACTATAAGTCATATTTGACTGATTATTTTTGGTTTAGACAGAGCATTTATTTAGGAAGTTGTAAAGGTGAATTAATCTAAAGTTACAATAAAACTGAAGTTAGACGAATAGCGGTTTACAGAAAAAAAATTTAAAATAATCTTTGATGTGTACAACTTATTTGTTTCTTTTTATTGATTGTTAAAATCTCCCACAAAAAATATTTAATCAAACTTTACTTTGACTTTGTTATGTATCAATATCGATAAGAATTACGAGAAGTAATTAACTTAATCGGTGTGTTTAAATAATATCAGATAAATGCTAGTAATTTTTTATCTTCCAGGTTTTAATCGTCTTAGCAGGAAAAATTTTTATTATAACGTTTTAATTGTAAAAAAACCTATAAGAGATATACAATGTGTGTATTTCCCATTTATTTATTTATTTAAAACTTAATGCACATGTTGTATAAAGGCAGACTTAATGCCATTAGGCAATCTCTCCCAGTCAACCTTCATGTGATTCTACATCTGATGCGGTATGACGTATGATGACATATGATGCGGTAGGTGCAAAATAAAATTTTAAATGTAACATAATTGAAATCCAGAGACATACACAATATATAAACACACATACATACATAAACCTATAAATTAATAAAATATATAAATACTCAGTCGGGTACTAGCGTTGTGACTGTTCTACCAATTCTCTCCGAAGAAGTTCTTTTCCCTTGAATGCAAGGCGGTTTGTGGACATAGTAATCTCCGGGTTGACTTTCGGTTTCATGTGTCTCCATCATTTAAGATAATGTAAACTAACTAAAACTAACAAAAAAATCCGACTTTATTACATTTTCTTAGTATTTGCATAACGCACAATCATTTACATTTTAAGAAAATGTATGTGCTATACTTATTTTCCTTGCTTTGCTGTATATAACTAGCTAATGCCCGCGAGTCCGCTTGCGTGTATGTCGGTTATCGCGGTAAAATGTAGCGTAAGTTACTCGCTGATAATTATTATTTAGTTACAAAAGAAGCTTCGATTAAATATATCAATGTAAATGTTACCTAAACGTTGGGCTAATAAAAGCTTTTTGACAAAAGCACTAGTGTGAAATCCAGAGGAAAGTCCATTAATTAATCAAAATAATTTATTTCAAAATATTGAAAAATATTTGAAGAAAATATGCGATTTCTAAGAACAGAAAATTAAATGAAGTAGAATACGGCTTGATATAATTTGGTCCTTCATTATCACCATTCAGGTTCTTGATCAATACGTTTTTAAAAATGGATTAATTCTTAAATTTCGGATTACAATGTCTATAATCAGTTGACATGTTTACTAACAGTTGCCGACATGTTGTTACTGACAGTTAATGATAGGTAAATATACCTACAATTACATAAAACAACGAAACACTAGATTCTACTAGAATAATGATTCATGAGTAATGTTTATGAGAACAACACAGCGGCGTAGCAAAACTCGTTTGAAAACTACATACTATACTTTTGTAATGATAATAATTGACTGGAACGAATAACTTGTCTCTTTTTATTCATTAACTTTGAATGTATTACACAACTTTATGTTTTTACACGTGAATCATTAATATTGATTTTGTTTACATGATTTCGGAAAAAAATAAGGATTTAATCGTAGTGGATATCAAAAGAGGTAGACGACACCTATAGGTCGGCTCGACCGGAGTGTTACCACAGCCTCACAGAAGATCGGTGTTAAGCATTCCTTTTGTTGTTTTTCACAGAGTGAATGGCTACCGGAGGAACTCTAATTCTAGTGGTGAATAGAATTATTTGAATAGAAAAATGTATTGCATCCAATAATACTATATTCAAAGCTGGTGAGACTCTTTTTTTTTAATAACATTATAAGCATGAATGTATGACTTTCAAAAGAGACAACCTAAGATGCGTGAAAATGTTGTAAAACGAAATAATTTTTTCTAATAAATATACCACGGAATTGAAAGCCAATTTTCTATAAATTACCAGATTACGAGTACATATCATGCTACTTTTTTATTAATATTAAGACAATCTCAGTAGAGCAGCTGTAAAGCGTTCCCCTCTTTGGTAGATAAAAATAGTAACATATTAATACTTCCTTAAAATAATATGTTTTATATTTAAATCTTAAAAAAGTTATATAGTACCATTTATTTTTTCTATCTTTTGTTTTTGTCTCAGTTATACGTACTGCATTAATTCGGTGACTGATTTAGGTCGAGACAGAGACGTACAATTTTATTAAATAATATAAGCTTTGGGGAACTTGGAACTTAGGCAGATAGGGCATCACCCCTTTTTTCAAAAAAGAAGATTTTTATAATTAATTACATTATTATTATATACTTACAATAAGTGACAAAGTCGTGACTATAGTCATGGCTTTTCTCCCATATTTATCCGTGAGCCAGCCCATGGGTGCTCCAAAAATTATAGCAGTTATATACGTCACAGATGCTATCCAGGATATGTCCGTACTGGTGTAAGGCTCCGGAGATGGACCCTCGGGAGACTGCAGCACTGAGATCATGGGTGACAGCCATCCTTGCACCATTCCGAAACTCAGTAAGGGGATTGTCACTGTAGACAAAAATAAAGAATTGTGGTAATTTATCATTCTACAAGAAATAATTGGGGAAGGAAGTTATTTTATTTGGACAATATACTATAAAACTTTAATGTTGTCTATAAAATATAAATATAAAAAGAGATGTCGGTAACGGTAACAATGTCGCCAGTTCAATTGGTTTTCCCATCTCAAAAAATGCCCAACGCGCCTAAAGAACTTGATGTAATAAAATCGAAATTATACTCCTATTAACGAGCTTAATTTTCTCATAATACCTTCGTGTAACGAACGTATCATTAAATAGTAATGGGAGGATGCTGCCTCTATTGTGACTACTATTGACATAATGAGCAAATTGAATTAATAAAATGATGTAAATAAATGCTGGCACGCAAAACAGATGCAATAACACGAAGAGGGTAGGAAAAGTGGGCACTAACACGCTATATTGACGGGCCTGCTTATCTAGTGTGTTTACCTGACTGCTAAGGGGGTTCAACCGCCACCCCTCCCCTCAGGACAAATGAGTGTGAGATGAGCACGAGTAATCGTTCGCTTCGTTCAAATGGTTATTTCTTATTTCATATTTCTAAATTTGAAAATAACAAAATTCCATACAACCATTTGTGGCGACTCCCACATTCAAAAAGAAACAGAAACATACTACAGCGCCATCTAATGAAGACACACCGAACTACGGAGTAACTACTAAAATAAGAATTGCTAATCCTGTATCGCGATATAAAGAATTCCCTCGCCGATTAGCATATATACAACTTCCCAACATCAACCGTTGCGGCCGCGGCCCGCCAGGCATGATCACCTCGCCTGGTCGGAGGATCCTCCCTTTGTGTTGGAGGGACATGACACCCGTTCCTCCACAGTGGTGACCCCGACGTGATTGGAAGCAGCCTTCAAAAGGAGCAGATGATCAGCAGCACCATCGGGTACACTCCCGCAGCGATGAGCAGTAATCAAGTCTCAGCCAGCCAGTAACCTCGGCCTCTACAGGGATACCACACGCAGGTAGCGACCGCTCCAGCCTGGTTACCTCTACGGCCTCATCAGCGTCTAGGCACAGCACACTGCACCTACGGTCCACGTAAGAAGAGCATTTTCTCTCCCGTCTACGCAGCAGCCAGCCACTACGCAGCAACCGCCCCGACTCACTGGGGACTTCACCGCAGCACCGCGCACCGCACGCTTTCCCGACTCACTGGGATCAGCGGACTTCAGACCCGACTCACTGGGGCTAGCGGCACTCAGTTCCGACTCACTGGAACTAGCGGCACTCAGTTCCGACCCACTGGAACTAGCGGCACTCAGTTCCGACTCACTGGAACTACTCACTACTGGCACTGGCACGCTCCACAACAGGGCATAGACAGCTGACTCATCATATATCGACCTCCGGTCTTGGAGGGGAGTGATGTGGCGACTCCCACATTCAAAAAGAAACAGAAACATACTACAGCGCCATCTAATGAAGACACACCGAACTACGGAGTAACTACTAAAATAAGAATTGCTAATCCTGTATCGCGATATAAAGAATTCCCTCGCCGATTAGCATATATACAACTTCCCAACATCAACCGTTGCGGCCGCGGCCCGCCAGGCATGATCACCTCGCCTGGTCGGAGGATCCTCCCTTTGTGTTGGAGGGACATGACACCCGTTCCTCCACACCATTTATCTCTTATTTTAGCTCCTTAGGTGAGAAAATGCCAAAAATTCTTTCTTGGTGGGTGCTTACAATATAAAAAAACATCAGCTTCTAAAATTTGAGGTTTGTAGCCCTAGCGGTTTATGTTCTGCGTTGATGAATCAGTCAGTCATCGAGGGCAAGTAATTTTATTTGTATAAATTAGGATTTAGAGATACATAAGTTTCTATCAGCAGTCGGTTTAACTTAGTACAGACTCTATTTAGTTTGGGATCAGACCATCCAGAAATAGGAGGACGGGTTGGAACACTCAGTGAAAAGCAGCCCAAGAATAGTTTAACACCGGTTTTCTGTGTCGTGCCGGTCGTGCCAGCTCCCCGAATGTGCCGAAGTTTCACTCTCCAACGAATAGAACGAACAATTGGAACACTAAGAAGCTTCATTAGCGAAGACAAAGCCGTTTTTTCTTTAGAAGTAAATAATTTTTGTTACTATGATGGCAACAAATACACGTTAATGACGTCTGCGTGTGAATTTTTACGTAGATATGTACAAAAAACCTATGGCAATGACATGATGACACTCGAGATGACATGCAGACAAATTGTAATAAAAAGTTTCGTGAGTAGTATTAATGTACAGTGGCCATTCATCAAGGAGTGAAGAGACCTTCTTGTTTGTTTCTTTCTGATATGTGTGTGTGAGTAAAGCCGTGTATCTATATATATAAAAATGTTAAGTTGGTTTGTGTACGCTTAAAAGACTCGGAAACTTCTGCAGCGATTGAGCTGAAATTTTGACTCGAAATACAACCCGGTTCAATTATTGTTTTTATCTGTGTTTTTCCTTATTTGTCATAAATGCAACCAGAATGTGCATATGTGCCGAAGCGAAGCGCGGCGAGGGACAGCTAGTAGGTACTTTATAAATATATAGGTACTCAAAATTATGATACTTCGTTAATAACAATTGCACGGATGGCATTGCTGAAGAAGAGCAATTGCAGAAAAAAATGTTAGGAAATGTAACTACTGAATACAATCAGACTGCACGGTTTTTTAGTGGTTAAAGTGGTCGCCACGCCGCTTTCTATCGCGCTGAGTGTTGTGCGTTTGATCCTCACATGGGAAAACACTTTGTGTGATCCTCAAATTATTGTTCTGAATCTGAGTGTTCTTTGTGTCCGTTACATGTATATTTTTAAAGCCTTTTAAAAAATTTAAAAATAAAAAACAACAGATTGGCTCGGTAAATTACCTGCTAGAAGTCCCAAAAAGGCAGTTTACTAAAATATTATCGAATCGTTATTCTCGAATGGCAACCATAATACTCTTTGATTTTTTAATGCACTTACTTTTAATTAATTGCCTTATATGCAGCAGAAGGGTAATTCTTACCGAATACACCAAATCAAGTAGTATTGAAGGAAGTTTTTTTATTTACTCTCGATTCACCTTACTTAAAGTTCGCTAACCTATTGTCGTCGACACTTCCTTAAAATGAATAGCAGCCTTCTACATAGACTCCTGTTAACAATATCAGTCGTCATCATCATCATCATCATCAGCCTATCGCAACCCACTGCTGGACGTAGGCCTCTCCCATTGCACGCCACTTAGATCGATTTTGGGCTTCTAATGTCTGTAATGTAATTAAAATGTTTGTAAAAACAATTTGTTGAAAAAGCTGCCCTTGCAGTTTCTTGTGTTATTCTACATCGGATCTGGGTATTATCTTTCATTATACTCTAAAAAGTGGTGTACAATAAACAACGTTTTGTATATATTTCTATTAGAACAAACAACTAACTTCACAACTGATAATTCGAACTGACAATCCTCCCGATTGACTTTGGGTTGCCACATACCTATTGGGGCTTCTAAAGTATCCCAACAAATCGCTACAGATGAAGTGAAATGTACATAAAAAATCGGCTTAATTACTGTTTGCATCTTTCTAAATACTTCTTAAGGATTCTGTAAAATCAATCGCTAAGCACACACTAAATAAAGGAATATTAGATGATATAAGTAACCGTAAACTCCCGTCACGATGCTCATAATATACCAATAAATTGTATTGTTAATTTCATTTATTTTAATAAAATAACAAAGAGAACTCTGCAATTCGTTTTATCAGATAAAATAGCATTATTTATTGCTATGTTTTTATATTTAAATACTAAAGTTATAGCCTTGTATCCTAGAATAAATATTTCGTTTAAATGCGAAAAGTTGTTGCCAAAATATCAAATCTAAATGTAGGAATTTGTTTTGTCCTCTCAATATGAATCTCATTAAAAGCTAATATCAATATACTAAGGTTAGATACATTAATTATACCTGCATATCAAAAACTTGATAGATTATTTGTAAACTTAAGACTTACTAGTTATTTACAAATGTTAAGTTGGTTTGTGTAGGCTTCGAAAACTCAAAAAGTTCTGCATCGATTGAGCTCAAATTTTGATGCAATATACAAACTGTTTTAAACATGATTTTTATCTATTTTTCGCTCCCTTTCTTACCACTAAGTTGAAATGAGCTGTGATAAAGTGGAAATTTCGTTCTCTCCACACGCTACTTTAATCAGGATGGTTCGTGTTAGCTCGTGATCTACGCTTTTAAATTTAAAAAATAAGCCGATAATTAACATAATAAACCAAAAAAATTTTGAAGCACTTATTACAATGTATGGCTTGTGGCTATAATCAATTTCAACAAAAAGGAAACATTACAAAAAATTTTTTAATAACGACCGTACTAATAAAAATGTAATAAATGTTCAATCACTATTATCTACTATACCACTATTATCTACTAATAAGCGCGTTGAAATAATTGATCCCTTAGAAAATAAAAAAGGATTTTAATACTTCTAAATAGAGTTTGATTTAGCTCTTAACCACTAGTAAGCTTAATTTTTTATAGCTCTAGGTCTTAAAGGAAGAGTCTATTGAACAAAAAGAAATGATTAAAATCGATTCACAAACGGCCACGATATTTATAATGTCGACAAAGAACTCTCCAGACATCAACTTTGTTAGTTTTATAGGCCATTATCTCTGAGAAAGAAAGTTACAGGGGAAATGAGTTATGACTTTATGATGTAAGTAGGGTCTAACATTTTTTGGGTGCGACAACTAAAAAGGTAGATTATAAAGTTTTAGAGGTTTATTTTAAATCAAAGTGAATGCTCACATAACCGATGTGTGTTAATAGAATACGCGATAGAAACTGTATGTTAGACATCAAATATCTATAACTTTACTGCTGTAAGTATTATTTACTGTAATAAATGAGACAACTAATATACACTAATCTATATCATGTGTGGCGACGGATT